TATTATTTTGCAACCAATTCAAAATGAATGAAACTTACTTATGAATTGAAATCGTATATCTGTAGAAACCCTATCCAGAACCAGAAGCCAGTTTTCTCTCTCGTATATTCTTTGTGTGGTTCGACCCATTGATCTGGAAAGGCTATAAAAAACCACTCGAAGAAACTGATCTATGGGACATTAATCCCATCAATTCATCCAAAGAAATAATGCCAGTCTTTTCGAAACATTGGGAGAAATCTTTGGCAAAAGCCACCGCGAGAGCAACGCGAGAGAAAAAGAAACGACAAGCATCGATATTACCAGCGATTTACAAAACATTCGGAACACAATTCATTTTTGCTTTTTTAACGGAGCTCGTTAGAATTTTTCTATCATTAGTTCCACCACAATTGCTACGTTTGATCATCGATTTCGTGGATTCAAATACAAGCCATACAGTGGCAGCAAATGGCACTGATGTCGATCCAATAAAATCAAACGGTCGTGACCCATTGTGGCGTGGAATACTGTATGCGGTGTTATTGTTTGTTGTTGCATGTCTTCAAACAACAATTGTTTATCAAAATCTCCAAAGATTGAATATGATCGCATTTCGAACGCGTACCGCATTGATTGGGACAATTTATAAAAAAGCGTTATGGCTATCAAATACAGCGAAAAAACGGTCAACAATCGGTGAAATTGTGAATTTGATGGTTGTCGGTATGTGACTTGACACAAATAATTGTTCTTATAAAAACTAACTCAGATTATTCCGTTTAATCGCAGATACCGAACGAATAATAATGTTAATGACATACGTTGATATGTTTTGGTCGGCTCCACTCCAAATTGCATTAACATTATACTTTTTATGGGATTTATTGGGACCATCAGTCTTGGCTGGACTCGCGGTTATGATTATTTTGATTCCATTGAACGTTTTCATTGCGAATAAAGCGAAAAAATTGCAAACACGTCAAATGAAAAACAAAGACGAACGCATCAAACTGATGAACGAAATTTTGAACGGTGTCAAAGTATTGAAAATGTCTGCATGGGAACCGAGCTTTGTGAATCAAGTGCTCAAAGTCCGGGGTAGAGAAATTGTAACGTTAAAAAAGACAGCTTACGTGTTCTCAGGATCAGCATTTCTTTGGACTTGCACACCATTTTTGGTACGGTGTCGAATATTTTTACTTTTTTTGTGGTCTTTACAATTTTTTCATTTCGACGAAACCACCTTTAACTTTAACGGTTTTATTCATCATTTTATGTTTTGAACATCAAATAGGTTGCTTTGGTTAGTTTTGCAACGTTTGTTCTGTCAAGCGATGAGAATGTTTTGGACGCACAGACTGCTTTCGTCTCAATATCATTCTTCAATATTTTGGGAACGTCTTTAACCTTGCTACCGATGATTATTACAAATATTGTTCAAGTAAGTTTTTCTTTTAATATCTAAAATTAAAAACAATATGTTTTAAACAAAAGAAAAAAAAATTGGTGTAAAAACTGTATCTTTTACCATTTTGAATGTAAAATAGGCAAAAGTGTCAATGGGCCGTATCAACCGATTTATGAACAATGATGAACTGGATCCAAAAAATGTAACACATTTTCCAACTGATGGTAAGAATATCTGACCACTGCAGTGATCTTCTCTTATGATTCCTTTGAAACACCTCGATTTTCATCGAATTTTCGAGATTTATTGTGAAATTTTTAATCATATTTGAATTTGAAAAATAATTTTTGCTTTAAAAATTCCAGACACACCTTTGCTGATTGAGGACGGTACCTTCACTTGGGGTGATGGTGAACCAGGTCTTCGTAACATCAATTTAAAAGTAAAGAAGCGTAATTTGGTGGCTGTCGTTGGAAGCATCGGTGCCGGTAAAAGTTCATTGATATCGGCGTTTCTTGGTGAAATGGAAAAAATATCGGGTCGTATCAACACCTTCGGCTCAATTGCATATGTTTCGCAACAAGCTTGGATTCAAAATGCCACACTTCAGAATAACATTCTGTTTGGAAAGCCAATGGATCGCAAGCGATATAATAAAATAATTGACATTTGTGCATTGCGAACCGACATCGAAATGTTGCCAGGCGGTGATGCCACCGAAATCGGTGAAAAAGGTGTCAATTTGTCGGGTGGTCAAAAGCAGCGTATAGCATTGGCACGTGCTGTTTATAATGATGCTGACATTTATCTCTTGGATGATCCCTTGTCCGCTGTTGATTCGCACGTTGGAAAGCACATTTTCGAACATGTTATCGGTCCAAATGGACTGCTAGCGACAAAAACTCGTTTATTAGTAACTCACGGAATTACATATCTGCCAAATGTGGACAATATTTATAAAGTAAAAAATGGTGAAATCAGTGAATCGGGCAGTTTACGGGAATTGATAAAAAAGAAAGGAGCATTTGCTGATTTTTTGATTAAACACTTAGAAAATATCGATGATGAAGAAGAGAATTTAGATGAAATCAAAGAGCAATTGGAGACCACAATAAGCGCATATGCAGACACTGAATTTGTCGGAAAATTACAACGAGCCATCAGTCGTTCGTATAGTCGTGCATACAGTCGCGCATATAGTCGGGCATATAGTCGTTCCTTTAGCCGTTCTTTTAGCCGCTCCTTTAGTCGTTCTGAAAGTCAAGTTGATCCCGAATCGCCATTGAATGATTCAAATACATTTTGGAATGAACCCAATCTACAAAGCAATGATATCATCGAAAAAGAGAGATCAGAAGTTGGCAGCGTTAAATGGGATGTATATAAACAGTATCTAAAAAGCGTTGGTACAAAAGTGATCGTGTTAACAATCATTTTGAATTTAATTAATAACGGATTTTCGATTGGATCCAATAAGTGGCTATCAAAATGGTCGACTGATAGCAGTGCTGTCAATGATACAGGAGTTCGAGACATGTATTTGGCCGTTTATGCTGCGTTTGGATTGGGACAAGGTTAGTCATTCAATGTGCGTTGATTGAAATCATTAAACAAATCTTCTTTTTTTATCGATACAGCAATTTCAACAATTTTGGCGGTGCTTGTACCTTTATTGGGTTTCTTGTATGCCGCAGCTAAACTTCACAATATTTTATTGAATGGCATTACACATGCGCCGCTCTCATTTTTTGATCAAACTCCAATCGGCCGGATTTTATCGCGTTTTTCCAAAGATATTGATGTACTTGACCAAACACTTCCGGCATTTATCATCAAATTTCTCTACGTTTTTTATGAGGTATATACACTAGGGTGCAGCGTTTTTTAAAATTCATTATGTACACCACCATAACCTATGTGGGAGGATACCAGGAGAACACCTGTAATGTTTTTTTCTAAAAAAAAAATGCATGTAGGAATCGCGCATCGGACCCATCCGTATTCTTTCGGCCCTCTTGAACGCCTTTGATCTCCTGGGATCCTCCCACATAGGTTATGGGGGTGTACATAATAAATTTTAAAAAACGAGGCACCCTAATATACACGGAATTCGATTAAATTGCAAAATACACCCACTTTTCTCATTCAAAATAGGTTTTGTCAACGATATTCGTGATAAGCTTTTCGACGCCTATATTTTTGGCTGTGGTCATCCCATTGGGCATTGTTTACTATTTCATTCAAAAATTCTACATAACAAGTTCACGTGAATTGAAGCGTTTTGAATCGTCATCGCGATCGCCAATTTACTCACATTTCGGTGAATCCATTCAAGGATCACCAATAATTCGTGCGTTCAACATTAGTAATAGGTAATTGAAAAGGAATTATCTCATTAAAATTTCCCATGTTCATTAGTTTCTTTTGTCAAATTCTAGATTTATTGTTGAATCCGAAAAGAAGGTCGATTACAATCAAAAATTCAGCATACCATTGTTTATGGCAAGTTCTTGGTTGGCTGTTCGTTTGGAAATTATTGGAAATTTAATAATATTCTTTGCGGCATTGTTAGCTGTACTGAATCGCGATGAAATGGATCCAGGAACGGTTGGTTTCTCACTTTCATATGCATTGGCAATTACAACGTCATTGAATATGCTAATGAGAATGGCATCGGCGGTTGAAACAAGTATGGTTGCTGTTGAACGTATCAAAGAGTATGCGGAAACAAAGCAAGAAGCTGAATGGGAAAATCCAAATGTCAAAATTCCGGACAATTG